CAGGCCTAAGCCAGCCGGTGGACATCCCCTGAAGGTCCCAGACTGCGAGAGGGCACAGGCCGGGCTGAGGGACCCCCCTGAGTGCACAAATGTTTGTGCACCTGGCCTCTAGTAATATAATAAATAGTTGTTATGTCAACCCTAAACCAACATATTTGATAGTCATTATATTCAGTACATATTTACTTTTTCACTCTTATGGTATGACTTCATTTACTAATTACTATTAAAGATGTGGAGTTTGAAGAATGAGTGTGAGTTACCATTGTTTTTATATCATCTTTATATATCTCTTATATGTCTACTTGTTATCACCTATGATAATCATCCATATTCTAAGAGGTCAAGGGGAAAAGAATCAGAGATAGAAGAGGGCAAAGGTATAAGGTGTTTTCCTGCTGAGTCTGTTGTTTATACATTTTGAAAATAATTAGCATTTTGAAAATAATGGTAGTGCTATCCAGTATACTTTTGCTATACAGGGATCTTTACAAGTTTTGTCTGCTTCACCTATTTTTACAAATCTTGAATGGTCCCTTGGACCTTCCCAGGTACACTGGTCTAGATGTCTCTTGATCCCATCCCCTCTCCTTTTCTCAAAGATGTTGCATCTGAAGTAAGCCACCTGGTCTTCTGTATCATCAACTTCTTTCTAGTAACTCAGTTCTTATCAGCACATAAGCATGCTCTAGTACTTATCTTAAATTTTTCCCCTTAATCTCTCTTTCCTTCCCCTCCACTGCTGCTTTATATGAAACTTTCTTGAAATAGTCATCTGTAATTGCTGGCTTCAATTCTTCACCGCCTATTTGCTCTTTAACCAATTCTAGTTGAGTTTCTATCTCCACCACTTCACTTCAAAGATTTCCATATTGCCTAGCTCAATGGTTACTTCTCTATCCATTTGACCTTTCAGAAATATTTGATTGAGCTGAGCCTCCATCCTTCTTTTTTTTAAATAATTTTTTATTTTTCAATTAGATTTGGTTTACAATATTATATTAGTTTCAGGTGTATAACACTGGTTAGACATTTATATAACTTATGAAGTGATCACCTTGTTAAGTCTCAGCAGAGTACTTTCTAGGTTCCTACATGGTGTTGTAAATGGCAAGATTTCATTCTTCTTTTTGGCTGAATCATATTTCATTGTATATATTATCACTTCTTCCTTATTCATTCATTTACTGATGGACACTTAGGTTGTTTCCATATCTTGGCTATTGTAAATAATGCTACGAGTATGGGGATGCATATGTTTTTTTTCAATTGAGTGTTTTGAATTTCTTTAGATAAATACCAATAGTGGAATTGCTGGGTCCTTCGTTGCCTTTTGATATAGTCTTTGTTTTAAAGTCTGTTTCATCTGGTATAACTATAACTATCCCAGTTTTTTGTTGTTTCCATTTTCATGAAATATCTTTTTCCATCCCTTTTCTTTTAGTCTGTGTGTGTCTTTCTAAAGTGAGTCTCTTATGGATAGCATATATAAGGGTCTTGTTTTGTTATCCACTCAACCACTGTATGTCTTTTGATTGGAGCATTTAACCCATTTGTATTTAAAGTAATTTTTGATGGATATGTATTTATTGCCATTTTATTTATATTGTTGAAAGGAGTTTTTGGGGTAAAATAGGAATTTTGGGGGGTGAAATAGGCAGGTTTAGGAAATTTTGAAAATTAAGGGGTCCATGGAAAAAACACAGGGCTACAGAGTTGCAAAAGGGTACATTTCCATAAGATAAGGGAGCTGGGAGCAGCAGAAGTTATATTTTCATAAGGGAGCTGGGAGTAGCAAAAGGTACACATTTACAGAATAAAGAGAAGGAGGAAGAAAGCCCAGAGGGAATAGGAGAACAATGAGAGAGGAGAGCCTCATGTGTACCATGTGAGGTTTGACCTTTGAGCTCAGGAGTTGCTATAGTGACCAAATCAGAAGGGAATAGTGACCAATCAGTGGGGATCTGAAGGCACAAACATCTTCGGCTTTTATAAACTGTAGGGAAAAGGGACTCAGTGGCACCCTTTCCCCCTCCCCACATGGGAGTCTGTGCTGTGAGATTCTTTCCCATCCCCACGTGGGAGTCTGTACTTGTTCTTCAATAAATTTCCACCATCACTATACCATCTTCTGTCCGTGGTTTCATTCTTAGACTCCGATGGACAAAGAGTCCGGGAAAAGCCATCCTGCTCAGGGAACACCACACGTTCCAGTTCAAAATTCCCGCATCATTGTTGATCTTTTTCTTCTTCTTCTAGAAGACCCTTGAACATTTCATGTAATACTGGTTTCGTGATGATGAAGTCCTTGGCTTTTTCTTGTTTGAGAAGTTTTTTGTCTGTCCTTTAATTCTAGATGATAGCTTTGCTGGGTAGAGTAATCTTGGTGTTGGTTCTTGCTGTTTATCACTTTGAATATTTCTTGCCAACCCCTTCTGGCCTGCAAAGTTTCTGTTGAGAAATCAGCTGACAGTCTTATGGGAGTGTCCTTATAGGTAACTTAACTGTTTTCCTCTTGCTGCTTTTGAGATTCTCTCTTTGTCTTTAACCTTTGGCATTTTAATTATGATGTGTCTTGGTCTGGGCCTCTTTGGGTTCATTTTATTTTGAATTCTCTGTGCTTTCTGGACTTGAATGTCTGTTTACTTCAGGTTAGGAAAATTTCCTGTCATGATTTTTTCAAATAAGTTTTCTTTTTTTTTTTTTTTATTAAATCTTTATTGTTCAGATTACATTTGTTCCTCTTTTTTTTTTCCCCCATAACTCCCCTCCTCCCAGTTCCCACCCCACCCTCCGCCCTCACTCCCCACCCACTGTCCTCATCCATAGGTGCACGATTTTTGTCCAGTTTCTTCCCGCATCTCCCATTCCCCTTTCCCCCCCAAGAATAGTCAGTCCATTCCCTTTCTATGTCCCTGATTCATTATAATCACCAGTTCATTCTGTACATCAGATTATTTATTCACTTGGTTCTTAGATTCACTTGTTGATAGATGCATGTTTGTTGTTCACAATTTGTATCTTTACCTTTTTCTTCTTCCTCTTCTTAAAGGATACCTTTCAGCATTTCGTATAATACTGGTTTAGTGGTGATGAACTCCTTTAGCTTTTCCTTATCTGTGAAGCTCTTTATCTGACCTTCAATTCTGAATGATAGCTTTGCTGGATAAAGTAATCTTGGTTGTAGGTTCTTGGTATTCATCACTTTGAATATTTCTTGCCATTCCCTTCTGGCCTGCAAAGTTTCTGTTGAGAAATCAGCTGACAGTCGTATGGGTATTCCCTTGTAGGTAACTGAGTTTCTTTCTCTTGCTGCTTTTAAGATTCTCTCTTTGTCTTTTGCTCTTGGCATTTTAATTATGATGTGTCTTGGTGTGGTCCTCTTTGGATTCCTTTTGTTTGGGGTTCTCTGTGCTTCTTGGACCTGTAAGTCCATTTCTTTCACCAGGTGGGGGAAGTTTTCTGCCATTATTTCTTCAAATAGGTTTTCAATATCTTGCTGTCTCTCATCTTCTGGCACCCCTATTATTCTGATGTTTGTACGCTTGAAGCTGTCCCAGAGGCTCCTTACACTATCTTCGTATTTTCGGATTCTTTTTTCATTTTGCTTTTCCGGTTGGGTGTTTTTTGCTTCTTCGCATTTCAAATCTTTGGCTTGATTCTTGCGCTCCTCTGGTCTGCTATTGGGTGTAATATTCTTTATTTCAGACCGTGTATGCTTAATTTCTAGTTGTTTCTTTATCATAGCATCGAGGGTCTCATTAGTTTTCGTGAGTCTCTCCTCAAGTTTATTGGCAGCTTCTAGCACATTTTTGCAAGCCCTCAAAATTGCGTTTTTTAGCTCTATATCCTCCATTTCTGTCATGTTTTTTTGTCTCCGCATTTTTTATGCTTTCTTGGTGCACCCCCTTGTGGTCTTTGTGCGCAGTCTTGTTCTAGTTAAGCCTTGATTGTTGTAGTTAATACTAGAGGGATTTGACCACCAGCTGGCAGCCAGAAGGAAGGCCTACTCTTGCATGAATTTTGTGCATCGGGCCTCTTGTCCCTGGTGGCAGTGAAAGTTGTTCAAGTGAATTACCTCTTCATTGTTATTTCCCTCTGCCATTTTCAAATGCAGACATACACATTTGCTTGCTAATATCTAAACATGGTGACTACTCGCCACTCCACTCTCCGGCTCGCGAGGCGGGCTTGGAAGCCCCCGTCGCCGGGCGCCCAGTCACCACAAGCCGCAACCGGCAGCTCCGTCGTGGCCGCGGAGCTCAAATAAGTTTTCAATTCTGTGTTCTTTCTCTCCTATTTTTGGCACCCCCATGATATGAATGTTGGTATGCTTGAAGTTGTCCCAGAGATTTCTTAAACTGTCCTCACTTAAAAAAATTTTTAGGGGCTGGGAGTGTTTTCTGCTTCCTTATCTTTCAAATCTCTGATTAGATTTTCTGCTTTATCTACTGTGCTGTTGATTTCCTATCATGTATTTTTCATTTTAGTTACTGCATTTTTCATTTTTGACTGTTTTTTTTAATGTTTTCTCTCTCCATTTTTTATGTTTCCTATCTCTTTGTTGAAATTCTCATTAAATTCAGCAATTCTTCTCCTAAGTTCATTGAGCATCCTTATAACCAGTGTTTTGAACTCTGCATCTGGTAAATTGCTTGCTTCCATTTTATTTTGTTAGGCTGCATTTTTCTGGAGTTTGTTCTGTTCTTTCACTTAGGACATGTTTCTTTGTCTCTTAATTTTGGCTGCCTCCCTGTGTTTGTTTCTATGTATTAGGTAGAGCTGCTACACCTCCCAGGCTTGATAGAGTGGCCATATGTAGTAGGTTTCCTATGGGGCCCAGTGGTACAGTCTCCCGGGTCATCTGAACTGGGTACATCAGATGTGCTCCCCATGTGAGCTGTGTTTATCTTCCTGTTGTAGTTGAGCCTTGATTGCTGTTGGCACATCAATGGGAGGGGTTTATTCCATGCTTATTAAAAACTTTCCTTTCCTGGCTTCAAAGATACCACATCCTATTGGCCACTTCTTTTTAGCCTCTTCTACTGGCTTCTTATTTGCTGAACAACGTTTGGAATTTGAACTACTCTAGGATGTGGTCTTGTGCCCCCTCTTTCTTGCTAGGTGACTTTATCTGGTCCTGTGGCTTTAAATATCAATTATATGCCAATGATTCTTAAATTTTCGTCTCCATTATTAATCTCTCCTCTCATAGTCAAATTTATGTATCGATCTAATGTGATATCTCTCCTTGGCACCTCAAAATTAACATGTTTAAAATATAACTTTTAAACCACATGTAAACTTGCTCCATTTCTAGCTCAATAAATGAGATTAGAATCCATCCACTTACTAAAACACAACTCAGAGTTGTTAATGATTTTTTTCCTTTGCCTTTGATACTCTTATATTCAAAGTATATCTCTTGTAAGCAGCATATAGTTAAGCTTCTTCTTTTTTTAAAAAAATTCTGTAGGTTGATTTTTGTCTTTATTTTAATAGAGTACTATGTCTAATTATATTTAAGGTGATAAACTAATGTATTTTAGATTAAATCCACCATCTTACTATTTCTATTTATCACACTAATTCTATGTTCCCTTTTCACCTTCTATTGGATGATTAAAGCACTTTCCCCATTTTTTTCCTCTGTTAGGTTATGAGTTATATATTCTTTTACTATTCTTTTGGAGGTGATCCTAAAGATCATAATATGCATCCTTAACCTAATATAATTTGATATGAATCTATTCTTTTACTAGTCCTAGAGAAAAAAAGATATTAGAATACTTAATTCCATTGATCTTCCCTCATTGTCTCCAAAAGGCATTTTATTATTGTTTTTTATTTTCTTAGTATCACTTTGGTTTATTCTTTTTCTTGCCATTCATTTCTTTCTATATCTTTGTGATTACATCTTCTACCTGAAAAATAGCCTTCGGTATTTTCTTTAGTGTGTGAGCGGCAAATTCTCTGGGATTTTGTTAATTGTTATTAAATATTGCTATTCAGAATAATACTTGAAATAAAATGGAATTCAGTAGGTAGTCAGAAGTGAGAACACTCTTCTATTGACTTTTAAATGGAAACAAATCATCACAAGGCATATTATAATTGCACTAGAGGCCCAGTGCATGAAATTTGTGCATGGGTGGGGCGGTCCCCTCAGCCTAGCCTGCACCCTGTCCAATCCGGGACCCCTTGGGAGATGTCCAATTGCCAGTTTAGGTCCGATCATCAGGATTGACCTGGTCGACCCATGCAGCCTGCTTGTTTAGTTGTTTAGTCATCCCTCACTAACCCCCCTGACAGCCTGGTCATAGGCAGCCAGCAGTCGGACATCCCTCTCATAATCCTGGACTGCTGGCTTCTAATCGCTCACCTGCCTGCCTGCCTGGCCACCCCTAACTGCCCCCCCGCCCCCCGCCAGCCTAAAAAAAAAACTGGCTTGGTCACCCCTTACTGACTCCCCCACCCCCTGCTGGCCTGGTTGCCCCACACAGCCTGCTTGTTCAGTCGTTTAGTCACCCCTCACTAATCCCCCTGCTGACCTGGTTGCACAATGCAGCCTGCTTGTTCAGTCATTTGGTCATCCTTCACTAACCCCCCTGACAGCCTGGTCATAGGCAGCCATCTTGTGAGGGCATGAGGGTTAATTTGCATATTATCTCTTTATTATATAGGATAGGTGCATATAAATGGATAATAGAGATGCTTTATAAAACCTATCTATCACCATAAAAATCAAATAAAGTAGATGTTTTAAGACATATATTTTTCCCAGCTGGTGAGGCTCAGTGATTGAGCATTGACCTATGAACCAGGAGGTTATGGTTTGATTCCTGGTCAGGGCACATGCCTGGGTTGCAGGCTCGATCCCCAATGGGAGGTGTGCAAGAGGCAACCAAACAATGATTCTCTCTCATCGTTGATGTTTCTATCTCTCTCTTCCTCTCCCCACCTCTCTGAAATAAATAAAAATATATTAAGGAAAATAAGACATCTATTTTATGCTTTAAAATTTGAAATCATAAAATATTTCTCATTTGGTCATATGTGTCTTTTATTGAAGTACCACTTTCTATGTTATTTATCCCTTTTCTAGGGTGGCTATGATTCTGGTTTTCTATATCATTGTGAGTTCCCCCCATATGACAAAAGCAGTGATATCACACAACAGAAAGATGAACCTTTCGATTTCCGTTTTCTTGAGGCTACAGAAGATAATCCCATCCAAACCATCACTTTCAGGTGAACAGAATTTCAGAAAACTTAAAAAACAAACAAACAATAACCCACTGGTGTCCGTGTTTTTGTTTATTATGAATATTGTCAGTTTTCAAAGATCTGTCTAAATGGAGGGGTACTCAAACAATGTTAAATAAATCAAAGGAAAAAATAGAATCAAAGCTGATCTTAAAACTGTATTTAATTCACTCTACCAAATATCTTGTCAAAAATTCTGTTTATCACACAAATGAATTGTGTGGATTTACTCTCTATTAGTTAGGAGGATGCTACTGCATGGTCAGGGTAATGATTCTGGAGAAATCATAAATTGAATTATTACTCATTTAATAATTACTAATTAATCATTTATGCCAGTCATCCTTTTGGAGACCAAATGTAATGGCTCCAACTTTTAAATAGGCTTTTTTCCCTCTACCCTTTTGTATTGGTTTGCTTGGGCTTCCATGGTTTGTGAGGGCTTCAACATGTGAATTTTGAGGGGGACATAATTTAGTCCATAATGCCTTTGTTACTAAAAATTTAGAAATTTGACAATTAATTTAAAATTAAACATTTTCAGATTAATATGAAGAACAATTTGCTTTCTTTTTGTTTCATAGTATTAACCAAGATTTTATGTTTTGTGGACTGCACAATGGAGCAATTCGAATCTATATCCTAAGCCCGAATGACTCTTCATTGACCACTCTGGAAAGCTACTGGCACTTTACTGTGCATGACAATACTTATGGATGTATTACAAGCATTTCTGCTAGCTTTGATGACCAGTTTTTGGTGTCTACTGGAGCAGATGGCAATATCTTCGTGTTCACCATTTTTTCTGTTTTTGATTTAAGAGAAAGCCTGAAAGCCAAAGTGCCATCTCCCAGGGTATGTAACTGACTAACAACAACAAACCGTTTATTTTAAAATAGTGATGCTAAAATTGTTCATATCCTTTAAAAATTGAAAACTATTTAGATACATTTACCTTGTAGACTAATCTTTCTATTAGTATTATAATCTTGATTTTTCTGGTGCTTCTCTTTCAAAATTAAAGATGTTGAATTCCCTTTATTACTAACGATATAGAATTCTCCAAATTAAAAAGACTGTGCCAGTTTTTCTGTATCAATCACTAAAACAAAATTTGTTTTCAAAATGCACATTTTTTTCAGATATGTATGTTACTTTTTATTCATTCACTCATTGAAGGGGAAGATATGCGTTGTATACCATCATTTGTGCCTTTGAAAGGGGTTGTAAAAATATGGTTGCCTGTAGTATTAGAATATGACAATGCGGATCATGTTTGAAGATTCAGTTAAATTACTGTATTCTTTTTTTTTAAGATTTAAAAAAATATATATTTTATTGATTTTTTTACATCGAAGATTCAGTTAAATTATTGTATTATTTTTTTTAAAAGATTTAAAAATATATATATTTTATTGATTTTTTTACAGCACTGCTCAGGAATACAGTGAAGCTGCCCTTCTTGTTGTCTGGGTTACATACCTGATGCAGAAATATTGTCATGAAGGAGACATGCCCTTGACCGGAATTAAACCTGGGACCCTTGAGTCTGCAGGCTGACGCTCTATCCACTGAGCCAAACCACTTAGTGCAAATTATTGTATTCTTAAGCAGAATACATTATTGGCCTTGTAATAAAGATTGAGGGTTTAGATCCCCAAAGTATATCCTTTGGCCCTGTCACAGGACCTGAATTTCCTATTATCAAAGTGGTTCCTTTAGACAAAATTATTAATAATTTTGGAATTGCTTTGGGAGTAAGGAATTGTATTAGTGAAACCAGAGTTAAAATTCCTGTGAACACATTGGCTTCCCACTTAACAGGTGGCCAACTTACAAAGAACATACAAAGAACATAGGGAAGATTTGAGCAGGTAAATTTGGAGAATGGACTGTTGTCTAAAGAGGTTCAGCTCAGGAAGAGTAACTACAGAATGGAAAGTGTATGAACAAGACAAAAATCTTTATCATTCTATAGAGCATCAACTCTCTCTATGGAAACCCATATTGGATAGGAAAAAATACATCCTGCATTTGTATAATTGTGTCCTTTTAGTTATGACTGCAATCAATATTTCTTAAATCACTGAAGCAGACTCTGCTTTTAAGAAGGCAAAATCAGAAAGAATTGAACAAACAAAAAAACTAAGCTCTGCATTGGTCTGGGGTTCTTACCTTATTGTACTTTAGAATCAGCGAGGGAGTCCTTAAAAGTACAGAGCCTGAGCCCTACCCAAGAGCAATTAAATCAGAATCTCTGAAGGTGAGGCCTAGGTATCTATACCCCTCTCTTTCCCAGCCCCTGTGACTTTAACGTGCAGCGAGAAGCCATCCATTGTCAATGCTATCATGAGAGTGCATCAAGGAACTCAGAAGGCTGATGAACCTTGAGCTGTAGCAGGGCTAAAAGCTATGCATCGATTGTTCTGTGTTGAGATAGCAATGGCTCGAAGCAATTTCCTCACCTAATAGCCTCAAAGTAAATCTTTCCTGATCTTTACTTGTTGTGTTGTAAGTCAGCGAATGAGATACAAGATGCCTTAATAAACCAATTAATTATGAGTCATTTATTGCATGAAGCCCAGAGGAAGGTGTCTCTTCCAAATCTCTGAGCGAAGTAACACGGGAATTTTTTCGTATTTATATCTTTGAGCTTCTTTGCAGATTTTACAAAGGGCTCTGTGTGAGTTCTTGTTACAGACAGTTTGTAATCTTGGATACATAAAGAATGAACATTTGGCATAAGAATATGGGAATTATTATCATTATTAGTCCATTGCATCAGATGGCTAGCTTGCAAGGTTGGACAGTTAAGATGATCTTTTTCTATTATTTGAACTAAAAACAAAGTCATTTTATAGAATAAGAGACTGTTTTAAAGTGACAGAGTTTACAATGACAGAGTTTACAAGACTAGGGACTATCTAACAATAGCAGAGAGTTTCAAACAGAAGTTTTTTATACAAGATGGAGGTTACTATGCTTCATACTGACCTTTGAGACTGTCTATCTGCTACCTGTTTGCTGTGATGTACTGAGGGCAAGATGTGTAACCCAAGGTACATGCCCTTGACCGGAATCGAACCTGGGACCCTTGAGTCTGCAGGCTGACACTCTATCCACTGAGCCAAACCGGTTAGGGCATTGACATATATTTTGAAACAGTTGGGAGCACCTTTGTTTAAACTCAAATTTATTGTAAACAGCTGAGGCCAGGAGGCCCTGGAAAATCACACTAATTTGGAGAACTAAGGGGCTTATCTCTGGAAATACATACAATTTAATCAAGTTATGTCCTAAGTGATTAGTGGTAACTGCAATGTATTAGCCATCACTGTCTCTTACATTGGTCATGATTTATGACTCCACTTTTACTAAAGTCATAAACCTGCCTTATATAAAAATATTTAGACTTAATTTCATACATATGAAGGTATAAAGACTAGCAAGGTAACAAAACAAATTGATCAAAAAGGGTCTTTACAATGAATGACAGAAAAGCAGAGACCTATCTATACTATAATAAAAGAGAAAGATGCAAATTAACCATCACTCTATCAATCTGCCACTCTGCTACACCCACAACACAAGCCATGCCCACCAGGCAATAAGGAGCGAGTATGCAACCACAGAGTTGGAGCCAGCAGGAGGCTTGGGTTGCCCCCAGTGATGGAGGAAGCCAAGCTTCCTGCCCTGGCCGGCCCTCGTCTCTGTTCAAGGCTACAAAGTTTCAATTATAGAAGATAAATAAATCCCAGAAAAAAAAGGAGAGGCTGGGAGATTGGGTTGCCAGGGGGCATGGCTAGCATGAAAACGGCCCTAGCCCCTCACCCAGGCTGGCCAGGTACCCCAGTAGGGACCCCCACTGTGAAGGGGGTGTGGCCAGCCTGAAAACAGCCCTCAGCTCCTCACCCAGGCTGGCCACACCTCCATAGGTGAGGGTCCCCACTGGGGGGCTTGACCAGCCTGCAAACAGCTATCAGCCCCTCACCCAGG